TCGGTCGGCCAGTTATTAGGTGTAGGAAGGGTTCGTTTATAACCAACTTGGTCTCGTGTGTTGTTATGTGTATGAGGGCTGGCGTCACTTCCCGGCTGCCCACACCTTGGAAGGGTATTTCTTGAGGAACATGAGTAGGAAGTTGGATTATTGTTGGTCTTGATCTAGGAGCGTGACCGCAGAGCCCAAGGGACAACTGCTTTTGGCCGGCCACGCTCAGCCTTTTTGTGGGAAGTTTTTAAGGTGTTAGCTCCGTTCTCTAAAGGGCCTTACTGTCGGAAATGAAAACCCGTGAAGTAAGGTAAGGTGTGACATTTTTAGGGTTGACCTTTTCTAACCCCTTCCTTCCTTGTGGGAAGGCAGCATCGCTGCAGATACTAGTTGCACGAAGGAAACACCTTACTTCTTTCACACCCCTCTACAGTCAGCAGTACGACTTCGCCCTCACACCGGCTGCCTGTATTGCTTAACGATACTTTTCTACGGGTATCTAGGAACGAGATCGGATTAATGGTAGGGGTCTTTCAAACTTGGGTTTGAGTTAAGAGCCCAAGAGATAAATATTTGAAACCAGTCATACATGAGTTTTTGTGAGTAGTTTTAGATGCATTAGCTCCATACTTTTCAGAGCTCACTACGAGCGGAACTCCGTGGGCCCAAGGTAAAGTGTATTATTTTTAGGGACAACATTTTGTAACCCAGTGACATTTCTGCACAGTTAGCAGTACGCGTCGATCAACTGATATCAAGCATATGCTCTTAGTTTTATCACTCTCCTGAAGAAACAAGTGTTCCAATCAATATAGCTCAGTCGGGTCTTTACGGTATGTAAGCGTAACCACCCCTTCATGATGGAAAATGTGTTTGATCTCAGCTATAATTATTATTAGCCCTGATCCTTCGTAATTAATCTACAATCTGGCAGTAATCTGTATTGATCCAAGTTGTCATACCTGGCATCTATCTGAAAAACAAGAAATAATGGTATTAGTGGTGAACTAGCTAAGGAAGAAGATCAGGAAGTAAAACGTACAAAGAATTTTCTTGAACTCAAAACCTATAGGACTCCACTATTGTTATCTGTATAAGTAATTTCAGCCATAAGACGGTAGTCGACAGTGTTGGTTCACGCTTGTCTGTTTCGTCATAGAAATTAACCACTGTCATTCTTTTCATTCTTATCAACACTCATTATCCTAGTCACTTTTCTCACCTTTATATCTTATCATTATCGCCGTCATAGCCATCCTTATATATGTATAATAAATTGCTGGTGAAGTTCACTCCTTGAAATTGTCATTGAATATTATCAATGGTAGAGAAGATTTACAGCTCAGGCGAATATTTTCAATGTTGTTAACTTATCTGGTTTAATTTATTTAATTCATAAAATAGGCCCTGGCAATGTTGTTCTGAACGACAACGAAAGCTCTATCATCAAATTATCTAACTTAAAGAATTCAACATCAAAAATAACTACTAATTTTACCATTGTGATGTTCTTACTTCTATAACTCTTTAAAATAATAAAAAGTTTTTATTGTCTGTTCTAATTTATCATGGTTTTATTAACAATAACAATCAAGATAGAATACAAAATAGTGAATAAGGAGTTGAAATTGTTGTCTTTCTGTTTGGTTTCTCTCTGCTTTTTGTGGGCTATTTTATTCATATTTTATACTATAGATTAATGGTTATAAAATTTGCATATACTGACGGCCAAAAGATAAACAGTTTGTGTGAACGTAATTTAAATTGATTTTGTTTTTTAAAATACTAGGTAGTTAACGTGCTTTCTCAACATACTTCACACAATGTCGATTCATTTAGACTGATGACCATATTATAATTTGACTGATAGAATTCAATCAGCACTAAAGGAGTAAACACAGACATAATACACTACTTAGCGATAAATCAATAATAGGTGTTGTTTTCTATTGTTCTATCACAAACTGATATTTAAAACATTACTGGGAACTCAAAATACACTCTTGACAGTTACGTCACCATACTTTGACATTTCTCAACAGTGTGTACGTACAATTCCACACTATATCAAAGTCAATAAATGTGCTTTGTTGATTCCTGTCTTATTTTTTTTGTGGTCTAATAGAACCATGCTCTCTATGAAACACATTAAGTAAAAACGGATACCCAATAAAATTCCAAACAAAATATACGTCCAAAATAGAACCTAAAGTAAAATCACCTACATCATCTAAGAACACTTTAGTCCCAAAATTGCAGTTAAATGTGATGTAACCTGCGAGCTAACGATGTGATCTATGAATAGCACCATAGAACCGCGCAATTATATCACTGTATTTTTGAATATCACCTTTTGTTTGATTTGAAAAGAGAACAGTGAAACTGTAGTGTCGGTTACTATGTTAAGCGCATATCACTTATTCTACCTTCTGGACAGGCCAATTTATTCATTCTTCTTGAGTCTCTTTTTGACCTTGTTAATTATTTACTTATCAACCTTGACTGTTTTTATGTAAGCGTTTGTGTGTTCATTTCCTATCTTACTATCACATGTCTGTAACTTATTTTTGTTCGGCTATAAATATCGATTAACGTTTGGCTAAATCGAGTTGGTTCATACTCTTCTTCTTTTCGTTTCGCTCTCTTCACTTCTCCAATCTCCTTCGCTCTTCCCTATTTGTTTCGTCTTCTTGATTGCCTGTTCAAATTAATGAGTGCATGAAATATACGTATTCAAAAGCAACTTTCGTATTTTGCTTATTTAGTTCCATTATTCACTAACGTGCTTTAAGTCGATTATTACATACGAGGATACCTGACATATGTCTTTCAATAACATTCTTACGATCCAATTGGAGTAAGATGTCGGGCCATTAAAGTGGTGAGATCGTTGATAACATCGACCGATCTAATTGACGTCAAAATGAAGGGCCCCCTAAAAAAACACTCTGCTTTAGTGCATTTAGTAGATATCAATCAATACAAAATGTTTTTCCAAATCTGTTTATAGAATGACATCGAACTTGCACTATGTTTCCAGACTTCGTCTTTCACATATGTCGAAAGTCATAGGTACACACATCAACAAACTTTATCTTTGTGTTCAGTAGAATTTTGTCAAGCCTCTTAATTAACCATGACTTTCACCTCACTTACTACATTTCTTAGAAAATTTTTAATTCTACTCAATTTTGATTTATAATTTCATTTTACATGATCTATCTATCTTTCTTAATAATCTGATTACCTAATTTCTATTGTACTCGTTTTACTAATTATGTACTGTTAACTTTACAAATAACAGAAAACATTCATATTCAATTGCTTGATTTTGAAATGAATTAGTTCTTATTATTGTGCAACGAGTTTTATGGTTAACTAATTACGTAACCTTATCCTTAAATGTGTTATATCTTCTACATTTGTTGAACATCTTAATGATTACTGCTTTATAGAAAACATTGTTGATTCGACGAAGCACCATTTATTTACTGAATTGTAAAACCTATCTATTTTAGTGTAAAGCTCTAATGAGGAATTAATTGAAAAGAAAAATTTCTTCACCAGTATAGGGTTGTGGAGATTGTTGGATTTTTATTGAGACCGTGAAGCGATCAATGTTAGACCACCATTAAAACCATGGAAGCACTTGACAGTCCTTTCGTCCTAGTATAGGGCCCGTTAGGCATGCGCATCCACGATCCCACACCTGGGACTCGATCTCAGGACCTTTCGTCCCATGCGAACAAATAACCTCCAGACCAAAGGTACAATGTTACCATACGTTTCACAGGGAAAACGTGTGCTATTTGTCATTATCATTACCATTATTATTGTTATTATAAACTCGTTACCACGTACATATTGGCGTACTTGGCTTTCAATCATACTCTACTTGTGATGCCTAGTGGTACTAACCCTGGTTACCCAAACCGAAGTAGGTGGAGTAGGGTTCGAACTTGTCACTTAGGGGTTGAAAGTCGTAAGCGTTAATCACCTAGCTACCACTCATAAAGAATGTAGATAGGTATGAATTGGGATGGTCACCTACTTCGAAGTGCTTGAATACATTATGTTACGTATCTCCGTTACACTCTTCTGTTTTGGACATTTGTGTAATCGATTTCATTTTGTTTGTATATAAGTTTTACAATCCCGTGACTTCATTTAAAAGTTATTCTTGATTATATCGAAGTATTTTGAAATTGTCATTTCTGAGTCTCTTAGATGTTCGTAATGTATCTATTTTGTTCTGAGGTCTGATTTAATTAGGATATACGAATCATACGGTATATCTCATCCAGTATGTACGTGACAAGAATGGAATGAGTAATTAAATTTAATTACCAAATAGATTTGTAACATACACAAATCTTTAGTATTCATATGGCATTATTTTTTTAACCGGAAAAAGATATGTAGGCTGAGACATTAACTAGGTGTTCAAATGAATTCCTCCAACAGCTTGCCTTGTTTTTAACTTCTTACCTACTGCCTGTCCTTAAGTCGACATGTGAGCTTTCGCAGTTGACATGCCTATACTTTTGTTACTTATCAGTATCATTTGTGTAACGATAACCATCATTTCAATGTTACGTGAAAGTGCAATATATAGGATTATGGGGAACAGCGTTGTGTATATGAACACAATTTTCACTAGAGATTTCATTTCCGTCATTTGAAGCTGTCCGCATACATATCCCATGAATACGCAACTAAAGCCCATCTCAACCTCCTAGGTGAAAAAGGCTAATAAATTAGAAATTGAAATCCCTAGAGAAAATTATACTCTCATATGCAGCACTCACCAACAAAATGAACGAATACATTCTTGAAAATGTTTGATTACCCGAATATTGAGAAACGGATAAATATCATCTCCGCATCATTCGTAGTCATTCATTTTAACCAATCCTCTAGAAATAATTTTAATCTTGATTAAACTATTCATAACTGATTTTTTTGATAATCCTATAATCGTGAATTTTTTCCACAAATAACTTGTCTAGGATTGCAAAAATGTATTTGATGGTGAAAACATAAATATCAATTCACAGTCACGTGAATATGCACAACCGTTTATTTCAAATGCATTAGATTCATCGAATAATCATGCTACCACACCAAAAGGTTGTACCATAGTTATTAATCCAGCAAATGTTGGCACCGATGGAATTGATACGATAGAAAATAAAACTACTCTACCGTAAGTTTTAAACATTAGTTGATGTTTACATTGAGTTTTTAGGCTCTATACTCGAACACTACTAGTTGAGTCAGAGCTTACAGCGAAATATTACCTAATTTTTCAACCTCAAGTAGTGTCCGGCATGGTTGTCCACTATCTCCATTTTTGTTTAACTTCATCATAGGACCTACTAATGGGAATAACGTCCTGTTTGGTGAAGACACTGATAATATGCAGAGTCTTCTGGTAGCACTAAGCAACAACGCCAGAATGTTTGCAATGCGCATCTCTCCCTCTAAATGCAAGTTGTTGCTTCAGGACCGGTCTGCGTCAACACCTGAACTAAGGATAGGGAGTGAAGTAGTCGAACGCGTTGACAACTTCACTTATCTTGGAACTCTGATCAGCCCTAATGGGTTGGTATCGAACGAAATCTCAGCACGGATTCGAAAAGCTCGCTTGGCTTTTGCCAACTTACGTCACCGATGGCGAAGGCGAGATATCCGTCTATCAATAAAAGGACGAGTATACTGCGCGGCAGTCCGTTCTGTTTTAACTTACGGCAGCGAAACATGGCCATTAAGAGTAGAAGACACTAGTAAGCTACTAGTATTTGACCACAGATGCCTTAGAAATATTGCTGGCATCTGCTGGGATCACCGAGTAAGTAATAGTGAGGTTAGACGCAGGGTATTAGGGAATGATGGTAAATCAGTTGATGAGGTTATGAATCTTCATCGACTGAGATGGATGGGCCACGTGTTACGTATGCATGAACACTGATTACCACGACGCGCAATGCTAACCGGCGTTGGAGGTGGTTGGAAGAAAGTTAGGGGTGGCCAAACCAAAACGTGGCATCAGTGCTTGTAGTCACTAACTTCTGATCTGAGCCATGTTGGTAGATGCATACTACTTGGTTGGAGTCCGCGTGACTATCGTAACCGATGGTTGTAGACTCTGGGTGACATGGCTCCAAATCGATTACAGTGACGTTGGTGTATACACCCTTCGCTTTCACTTTATCCTTGCGATTAAAATTACTCAAAATTGTCTACGAACTAATTCTTTCTTCCTGTACTTTATCCTTTTATGCAATCTTGTTGTGCTAATGAGGTATGGCAACTTGTACTGATGCATATATGCGCCTGGTCCTATGTTGTAGCTGACTGACTTTGAGGTACGGGATTGGGCAAGAGTATAGTGTAGGAACGACAATAAATCAGCCACGATGAACTTCCTGTCATTTCTTCACCTAATTGGAAAGCTGTCTCTAAATGGATGGTGTATGGCAAAGAAAACAACTGTAAAACACAATGTTAGCAAATTTTTACAGAATCAATGTATCTTTTAATGTCCTCCACAAAGTACTTTCCCTTTCAACTGAAAAACAATGATATTTAATCCCTGTCGTCGAACCTTTATATGAACGAAAATAAACTCTTCAGAGTACCTGCATTGTCAGGGTTGTAGATTCAGAGCAAGGATTAGAGTTTAGAGCTACAACTGCTAACACATCATCTTCTATAATGCGGAAATTCTCTGTATTCAAATGGATGAATGTATTTACTTCAAATATCCAAGAAGTGTTATCTAACTTTCTTGATTGTAAGTTATATTGCCACTAGCTTATTATTATGAATCAGGATTAAGCATTTAGGGATAAGATGTTATATAAAATGTACAGAAATAGAATAAAACACTTGATACGTTTAACACAATGATTTTTACTTTATGGTCGTTTTCGGTAATTTTTCGTTATAATTGTGAACGTTTTTAGTAGTATACAGAAATATTGTTGCCTATTGTTATGGGTATTATTTGAATTTTATTCAAAATCTGAAAAGTCGCTTTCTCGACTACGATTGACTCCTATCTATACTATACTCTTTCACGAGTGGTTGTAGTTTTTATTCTTTTACATATTTTTTGTGACTTTGGTAATTCGTTTCGTGTTGTGTTTTCTTGTTCTAACAATCATAATAATAATAAACACTCTTCAATGTCATATTTTTGTTACATAATAGAGTTCTCTGTGGTCTTTCTTTGTGTTAGAATATACTTCACATAACTCATTCTCAATCAGAGCAAATGTCGAGAGTATGTGTGTGTTTTTATCAGCATGAACAACAAAAATACAGTTGTGAGTACATCAGAGTTTATGTAGAATTTACACAAAAAATCTTCAAGGATTTTGATTTGTTCACTAGCGCACTCTTTTGTTGAACATAGACCATTCACTGTGTTTTGATTTATTTCTGATACAAGCCCGTAATTTTCAGGGATCTATCCTACTGATATTTCCACTTTGAGGTCATTCTTCGGATTGGTTATAAGGATCTACTTGTATCTGGTCTGCGCTTACGTTTCTTCAACGGTTGAAACGTAATATTCGGTAGACAAATAGCTGGACTTTTCACCCCTTTTTTGTAACTTTTTAAAAACCTTTATCAGATATTCACTTTCGTAAACCTGTTCCACCTGCTGCTTGTAATTCACCAATTGCTGATATTTTTTTCGCCGTTGTCAAAATTGAAGTAAATGAAACAAGGTTTAAATCTGTAATCTAATAGTTTAAAGTTGACTGCTTCAATTGTTATCCCACTTCTATGTTATCCTCTTCTAAATATGTTGTAACAAACGTCACCTTTTCGGATAGATAAGTAACTGTAGGTGTCTGAGAATTAGTCCAGTTATTTCGCATGGTGCTTAATCACATCCTGTTCGATTGTCTTTATATAGAGATAATGCTTCCAAGACATCTATTACTTACAATATTTTTATGTTTACCAATATTTTACGGCTGGGTCACACAATAGTTTATCTCAAACTATAATCATACTTTTACAATCATTCGAAATTTCTACTATCTTAGTTGTTGTATATTGAGAAATGTATGCAAATGTGTTGTATTGATACGCTAATCAGAGCTAACATACATCTCATACATAAATTGGATTATTTATTTATTCAAATTATGTCACTTGTATTCTATCCTTAAGTTAAATGATATATGTGTGGATATATCATCACCTAGAGGATTATATTTGAATAACATAAATATCATAAGTTGACTTCGATAATATTCATATTGATATGCTGAAAAAAAGTGAAGCATCACTGGACATTTTGTGACTTTTTGTTATCTTTAATTAATTTCAATCCAATTCGCCTGTTACTCGTGAAGGAGTACAAGCTGCCCTCCAGCATTCTACATTGAACTCTATCCTGGGCAATCCTTCCCCGTTATTTCCAGTTGCTATTCATCCTTTTCATGCCTACTTCCAATTTCCGACGCAGTGTGTTCTTCGGTTTTCCGCTTTTTCGTTTCCCTTCAGCATTTCAAGTTAGAACTTGTCTCATGATGCAGTTTGATGATTTCCAGAATGTATGTCCTATCCACTTCCAACATCTTTGCATAATTTCCTCCTTAGTTGAAAGTTGGTTTGTTCTATCCCATAGTAGACTGTTGCTGATGATATCTGGCCAAGGGAATTCACTATGCTACATAGACAAATGTTTATACATACTTGTACCTTATTGATAATGGTTTTAGCAGTTCTTCACGTTTCAGCTCCGTACAGTAGAACTATCTTGACATTCGTATTGAACATTTTGACTTTGACGTTGTCTGACAGTTATCATTAAAATTTTTGTGTATCAGTAATATCATGAATTATTTAATCATTTATTTAATTATTCATTAATTAATTACTATCTTCAGTAATCTATCTATTCAGTCAGTGATGATAATTTGCAAAGATTAATTTTGTCAATTCAGCTCATTTATTTCCGGAAATCACTTGCATAAAATGTAATGAAGTTGATCAGTCTTTACCTTCTCTATTTCCATTCTTTTTTTTAAATACTTCCAGTACTTGTTGAAATGCAAATGCAGAAAATCATATATTACTTATTTCTTTTCGATAGTTGAAATCATGAGTCAATTGAAGCCAGACCACTATGAAAAACCTGAAAGTATTGGACGGCCAGGTTTTCCGTGGTGGTCTAGCTTCAATTGACTCATTACCTCAACTATTGAAATTACTATAATATCTCCAAGAACCCCTTCTGATACTTAGTTATTTATTCATTTACCTGTTTTAATCCCTTCTTTTATTTTCAGTATATTCCCTTTGGTTTTTTTTATTGTTATTGTTAACAATGATTTTCATTATTCTTTCCTCTTGTTATTTTTAGGCGTTACCAATTATTTAAGTATTTTGATTCTGTATAGATTAGAGAATATAATTTTGTACGTTTTTTCTCTTCACATATACCTTTGATGATTGAGCATGACATTATACAAGTCTCTCTCTCTCTCTCTCTCTCTCTCTCTCTATATATATATATATATATATATATATATATATATATATATATATATATGTGGGGAAAAAAATAATTAGCCTCTAGTAGAGTTAGTTTACATTTGTTTTTCGACTTTATTCCTATATTCTTTCAGTTTGTCATTCAATCATAAAGACTAGCTATTCATGAGTTTGTAAGTATCATTACCAAGGTTTGATTTGATAATTTCGAATAAATTGAGCATTGAGTAGTTTGTTATAAATAAATAACACATTTGTAATATCACAATGAGTAGAAAAATTAGATTTTCTGACGTTTTGTGACTTAGTGTAAGCCACTTCTTCAGAGAATAAATAACCAAATTAAAATTAATCCAAGTTTAAACTTAGATCGGGATATTACAAATGTATTTTTTATTTATTAGCTATTCATGTTTAGAACAGAAAAGATTAGATAGAGAAATGTTGAAATTGAGGGATATTAAAGTATTTGAAAATCCATTTGTCATATTTAGAATAAATGTGCTGAATCCTTCAGAAAACCAACTATTTATTGACTATTGTGTTACATTTATCTTTAAAATTTGATTTTCCGTTTGTTTGTTTTCTCGCGTGAAATCTACCCTCAAGAGTTGTTTATTTCCCGTTTGTTATAACTTGGGGGTTTGCGCCCCTATCAATGTACACAACGTAATGATACCGTCAATT